GAATGAAAGGACAGAGAATAGTAATCTATAGCTTAAGGGAATTAGTAGCATTGGGTTTTATTTTTTGGAACAAACCAAAAAAAAAAAAAAAAAAACAAAAACCAAAAAACAAAACTGTTGCTGTCAAGTCGGATTTTGACTCATAGAGACCCTGTAGGACAGAGTAAAACTGCCCCATAGGGTTTCCAAGGAGTGGCTGGTGGATTTGAACTGCAGAGCTTTTGGTTAGCAGCCGAACAAGGAAATGGTAAATATTTTTGTGAGGAGAAGGAAACAGTAGAGAGGGAGGGATAGAAAGTGTAAGCACAAGAGAAATGGTAATAACTGGAACAAAATCTTAGAGATGGTAGGGTTCACTGTGGGAAGGGCGGAAGGCATGTCTTTCTCAGAGAGAAGAATGAAAGAGAGAGAGCAAGTGAAAAAAGTATGTACATAACTGTCAAGAAACAAGCAGTTCCTAAGCAGCAGTGACTACGGCAGCTGCTAGGTTGGCTAGTATACTTCCATAGAGTTGGCTGGTTAAGGAGACAGTGAGCTCAAATGGATTTAGACAGTTTATTACTCACAGCACAGCAGGCAGCATGAGCTTCATGTTCGCATCAGCTTTCCCTTGTCTCCCAAGCCCGTGGGGAGATGTGGAGGTGGCCCAAGTGGACACTGCACACTCAGTGGATCTGTGTCTCAGCTGAGGAACCCTGAGCTACAAAACCCCCAATCCCATAAGGGGGCAGCTAGCAATGCTGCCCAACCTTTGTCCTGGAGGAATAGGTTTTCTTTATCATACTGATCAGGAAACAAATCTGCCCTCTCACTCTTGGAGACAGCTTCCAAGGCTGCCTGTTATGCAGATATCCTTCAGCAAAGCTGTCAGTGCCCTTTGCTCAGAAGACCTTCAGAAATGTCAGACCCATAGAGAATTATGTCTCAACTATGTGTGTTTGTATTTATATGTATATACAATTGATTCTTGTTATTCGCAGTGGTTAGGTTCAGTAAAGTCACTGCAAACACTGAATTAGCAAATACTGAACCATTGCTCATAAGGGAAATAAAGGGTTAGCTTGCTGTGAGCCTCTGCTGACAATATTTTCGTCAGTTCTTCAAAACATAACCTTGTTTTATGTGTATTTCTGTTTAAAGACACCTTATTTAATACACAGTTTTGATTGACTAACGTGGAACTCATGGCCAACAGCACCATAACTCATGCCTGAATGAAGCTTATCTAACATACCTGTTTTCTTTGTAAGGCACATCTCAACCTTCTTGTGCTTAGGAATACTAGACAGCACTTCAGAATTATGCTTGGGGGCCATTTTAAACAACAACATCACCAGCAAAAAGCACAGACTTGCACTAAGTAGACTGTGAAAAGGACACTTGTTTATAGTATGAGAGCCGAAACAAGAAGGCAGAACATTGCCTTGTTTGACCTCAGCTGGGAATGTATACATTGGGCAACTCAAAATTTTTACTGCTCTGTGCATGTTTGCAAATGTCTGGGAAAGTGCTGCAAGTATTGATTTTGGGGTTATAATATTAGTGAGTAGGCAAATTCGCAAGTATGGAATCCGAAAATAATGAGGATCAACTCAGTGTGTATTTATAAAGAGATTTAAGGTGTAGAAAGAGCAGTTGAAGAAGATTACTTTGGATATGTCAACCTTTTCATATTATGACACGTTGGATTGAGTCATATAGCAGGATCTGGGTCTTACCCGTTGTTTTTCTTCAGAGCCTAGTACAGTGCCTTGGGCCTAGTAGGTGCACAGTGAGTGTTTACTGATAGACAACCTGTAAAAATTTTACCTCCCCTTTGAGACAGGATGTAGACTCCCTAGATGATTTCTGGAGAGTATATTTAGCCCAATGATCATATGTTATCTACAGGTCTATTTATAACATCCATTTCACATAACAAAAGGTACTGATGTCACAAGTGTGTTTTGATAAAGTAATATTTAAAAGTGTAAGTAACTCGGTGGAAGAAAGAAGGTTTTTTTTTGTAAAGCAAAAAGAAAGTTTTATTCGGCATATATTCAAAAAGGCAAAAGTGGGAAATGGACAACCATGCTGCCAGAGCCATGTCTGTCCGAGTCCAAGGAAGTACCACAGAACAGACAAAAGTGGGAAAACGGACAAGCATGCTGCCACAGCCATGTCTGCCTGAGTCCAAGGAACATTACAGAATAGGCAAGAGTGGGAAAATGGACAAACATGCTGCCACAGCCATGTCTGCCTGAGTCCAAGGAACATTACAGAATAGGCAAGAATGGGAAAACGGACAAGCATGCTGCCATAGCCATGTCTGCCCGAGTCCAAGGAACCATTACAGAGCCATCAGTATATATTAACATTACAAATGGGCAAAACAATCGAAAGCTTCACAGATTGTCTAGAAATTGTGATCCTACATTTTGAATTATCTTTCATAACAGTCATTGGTACAGGTTTCAGTAACGACAGTCAGGAGGGTCTTCATTGGTCCAACAAATTTCTATTCACTAAATGCTAATAGAAAAAGATAAATGTGGGAAGTCTTTTGTATTCTATTTGATTGGCTTTAGGTGAAAGGTTCCCTAAAAGATACTTTCCAAGATTATCTTAGCTATTGTCTTTATACCTCAGGGCCCAGTTGATGTGTCCTTGTGAGTTGTTGTGAGCCCTTGTGAGCCCAGCTCCAGCTGGGTCACATTCTCTATGCTCGAGGACTAGGAATAATTACTCCAATATTATTTCCTAAATCATTCCCTCCTTTTGATCAGAGATTTGAGGTAACACTTTGATGATTAATCCCTGGACTTAGTCGAGTTCCTAGATGGTGGCCATTGCAGGCTCTTTAAACTGACGGTGCTGGTTTTCTGCTGGATACCATCTGGTTCTTCACCAGGTTATTAAGTAAGAGTGTTGTTATCAATTGCATTGCCAGAGTGAGCAGACACAATGTACATCAACATTATAGCCTGAGGCCTTCTTTTGCCTTTTAGGTGTGTAAAACAATAGAAAATAAATTTTATTATGCCTAATACTATCAGGATATAGACCAAGAATATTACTATTCCTTGTTATAGTGATTTAGCCCATGTACTTACTCCTGATGGTAACCAACCAAACAAATCTGGTGTTTGTAAGAGTGTTACAGTGTGTAACCAAATAGCTTGCTCTCTCATTCTATGTCTATCTTGTTCTACTTCTGTGTTATTTATCCAAATGTAACAAGAGGTATTTGCTTCAGCACAGACTACACTAATAAAAAAATCTAAGGCTGTTTTGTTACCTCATGTCGGCTTGGCTTATGAGATCAGAGCTCACTGTTGTGCTTCCATCTCATCTGTTATTTGTCCCATAATGACTGACAAATTAAAGATTTCTCCAATTCAGATATACCATAACTAGGAATTAAAACTACCAACCATATGCTGAATGTTGGACCAATAGGTTTTCTTCTGACAGAAAGAAGGATTTTGAGAAACTAATGACAGATTGTAGAAAAATGTACTAAGTTAGGTTTGGAAAATTTTTCTTTATACAGCACACATTTTACTTATGTAATACAAATTTACAATATATCATTTTAGTATGGCATTTATAATAGTAATCGCCTGTGTTTCAGGGTAGTGTCCTAAAATAGTAGTGCTCTGCAGTCGATACTGCAGATTCTATTAAGGAAAAACTCTTGTGTAACAGATGTGTCTGGTCCTGTAGGAATCAGTGTCTGTAACAACAGCTTTTGTATAAATGGAATCAGATGGCTAGGAAGCAGTGGTAATGTTCTGTTAGGTTGTTTAAAGTGGAAATATGTTCAGGTTTCAGTTGTTGAAGCTGTTGAGCAGCAATCCAGGTATGAAAATGAGGAAGATTTGACTGCCTCTCTTGTGAAGAAGAGTAAAATAAGGGCACGTGGAGAAAGAAGTAGCGGTAGAGAGAGGCAAGTTAGGTTCAAAGAGATTCATCTGCACCCAGGTCTGTTCTACACTGCTCTTATGATCTGTGCTCTTCTGCTCCCTGCAGAATGAATCAGCCTGACGTTTTATCAACTTTTTGAAAAGTGGGATGAAGTCGTGTGGAACACATCAGAGGGGTGAAGCTGAGCAAATCTGAGAGCAGAGCATTTCATCTCATATCCTGTGGTTGCTTCCCTTACCTTATGGAGCCAGCAGAGGCGGAATTGATGTCCACTCATTTTTAGTGTATCTTGCTACCTTCATGTTACACTGATATTACAGGCAGTCCCCAGATGATGAATAAGTTCCGTTCCTAAATCTCTCTTTAAGTTGAATTTGTACGTAAGTCAGAATAGTTAGGTACAGTTCATCTCTAATATCAGTTAGTCAAATATTTGTCCTAGTATATAGCGTATACCTTTCTATACATAAAAAACATTAAATGAAACACTTCCAGTTACACTAAAACATCTTTAACATAATAATTCATAACTACAGGTTGTATGTAAGTTGGACGTTCATATGTAACAGATTTGAAGTAATAAAAGAGCTCACTGAGGCAGTTACTGTACCATATGCAGTCATCAGTTTCTCTGCAGCTCTCCAGTCACATGGGATTCCAGTGTTTGCCTGGACTTGAACTTGGCACAAAATGACTTTCATTGGATTTAGTGTGTAATTTGTTAAGTAATTACTGGGTTGCTTCTTTGATAGTTCCTAAGAGTTTATTGGGGCTTCCCAGAATTATCAACTAGGTCTGGGTAGAAAAAAATTGTGGGATGAAAAATCTTTCTGGTAATTCTTAATAACAACGAGGTAATAGTAAATGTAAGTACCTGTTCAGTCTGGATGTTGGTGTGCATGAACGCATGTGTGTGGTTGAAGGAAATAATCGGTAAATCATGGCTTTCTTAGCATTTTGTGTTTCTGTACAAAATTAACTCAAAGTTTTCACATGAAAAATAAATTGGCATTTGAATCAAAAATTTTAACTTGTTAATATCCCATTCAAATTGAATTATGTGCAGCTAATGATTATTTTTGGATGCCTTCCAGAAGCAGATGGCACGGTGTTCAGAATTCACACAAAAGCCGAAGGACTTACGGATGTGGATATACCCTTAGAACTGGTGTTTCATTTACCTGTCACTTACCCTTTGTGTCTGCCTGGTATCTCTGTTAACTCTGAATGTCTGACCAGGGCCCAGTGTGCGATGGTGAAAGAGAAATTACTTGAGCAAGCAAAGAACCTTTTGTCGGAACCTATGGTTCACGAGCTTGTTCTTTGGGTTCAGCAGAATCTCAGACACATCCTCAACCAACCGGAAACTGGAGGTGGCAGTGAAGAGTGTACTTTTCCACCGAGCATAACTGTGGACGATGGACTGTGGATAACTCTTTTGCATTTAGATCACATGAGAGCAAAGACCAAATACATCAAGACTGTGGAGAAGTGGGCTTCAGATTTAAGGCTGACAGGAAGACTGATGTTCATGGGTAAAATAATTCTGATTTTACTACAAGGAGACAGAAACAACATCAAGGTGCTAAAAAGTTGAATGTTGAATGTGAATTTTACTATTTTCTGCTTAAAATGGTGTATCTATGAGTGTGTTTTATAACAATGGGACAGATTAATCATTCAGCTGTTTCTGCTTTCACTATTACCATGTTAATGGATCTTCATTTTCTTAAGAATGTCTTCATTAGCTCCTAATTGCAACTACAAACTTGCAAAGCTTGTAGAATAAGCATAAGATTATACTTTTAAAATCATGGTACTTTATGAAAGTGACAGATTATAAAGAAAAATCCCTGTGATAAGAAACATGAGTGTTGTTTCTGTAATTTGCTGTAAGCCTCAACTTTATAAATGTGCACTAAAAGTTTGTGCATGTTAATATTGCTCTCCACAGTTGACATGGCAAGGGGTATATTTGTGGGTAGTCTGCAAAAAATTTAACACTGTGGCAGTTAAAAATACATTCTGTCATTTTAATTTGATATCTGTAGTACCTGGAAAGAAGAGCTTGTCCCTTATAACCAAGGTGTAATGTTAACAGAAGTAGAATCATTAGGGCTGGCAGCTTGTCACCTCCTACCTGACTTTCAGTTTCCGACTGACTTGTCCCAGCAGCTGCTTTCCAGATCATCTTCAGATTTTTCAAGTTCTCATTCTAAACTCATCTAAGCTGTTTTAAGTAGAACCAGATGAGGAAGACTACTTATTTTAAATCTTGAAAGAGCTACAAATCACTTAATGGAGTTTTTGCTTTCAGATAGGTTGGGTCAGGAATAATTACAACTGAATTTATTTAAAACAGATTTAGCTTGTACAAGCTATAATTTTAAAGATTTGTAGAATAATGACCTGCATTTTTCATGATGGACTCTTCCACAAAACTAGTTTAATATTTGATTAAACCGATTAGTGCTGGGTTGCAGCGTATAGGTACAACAAATAATTCAAATTTAATATATATCCTGGGTTGGGGCCTAACAAATGAACCACATATTTTAAGGTTATTTATAGTGTATCTATAAAATTTGATCCTTTTCAGTAATATACTGACTGACAAAAATGAATATAAATTGATTTCCTTGCTCATATTTCCCCAAAAGGCTCAGATTTTTCTTTAAGCCAACTCAGGCATATTAGGCCAAGTGCAGCTGTTTTGCAGATGTTGCTACCCAGATTGGATCTGTCAATTAATTAACAAGTATTTATTCATATAACTTGAATCTTTTGCTATTATATAGAAATTATACTTTTCCTAAGAGTTTTTTTTTTTTTTTTTAAATAGCTGTCTCTAAAGTGGCATTTTATGTAAATATCTTACATTTGTATAAGATGGTATACTAAGATTGAAAATGTACTGGTACATATTTATAGATACCATCAATTTGAAGTGATAAGTGCTATATGCCTATTAACTTCATTCAGATGCTCATTAGTAATAATAATAACAACAGCAGGTATGCTGTTAAGTGTGCCATAGCACTATATGCCAAGCATTCCTGTAGATGCTTTGCTTATAGTAACTCATTTAATCATCACAACTCCCCCATGCGATAGATGCTGTTAGGATTCTTGTTTTATAGAGGAAGTAACTGAGGACAGAGGGTTTAAGTATCCAGCCCAGAGTCAGAGTTACTAGGTGGTCTAGTCCAGATTCATGAGTTGGAATCAACTTGAAGACAACTGGTTTGATTTTTGGTTAGTCTGATTACCTCACTCTTCACTCCTGCAGTCACCAGAACTTTAGGCTGCCAAGTATGTAAAAACTGCACTTAACTCTTAAACTGCTTGATTCAGTAAAGAGACTACTCTTTGTGCATGAAAATAAGCTGCAGGTTTATGGCTCCTTTAAAACTTTGAGACTCAGAGTAAAATATGTATTTAACATACTGCTTTATCATTTAGGAGTACCTGATCCTTCAGAAAACCTCCAAAGTCGATGTGGACTCAAGTGGAAAGAAATGCAAAGAGAAAATGATTAGTGTCCTGTTTGAAACAAAAGTACAGACAGAACACAAAAGGTATAATTTAGTACTATTGCAGACAGAAAAGCAACTGAATCGATAATTACACTCTGACAAATCTAGGCATATCCATGAATTTCTCTTGTATATGCAGGTTTCCAGCATTTGAAGTCAAGGAATATTCATCGTTGGATGAGTTACAAAAGGAATTTGAAATGGCAGGACTTAAGAATCTTTTCTCCGAATTTGTACTTGGGCTGGTGAAATGAAGTGGAAGACAAGAATCTTTTAGTAATGCGGCAGTGTTTTTGTTTTGTTACTTTTGTTGTTTTTTGTATTGGATTTTGAGAGTAGCTTATTGAACTGCTTACACAGGAGCAATTTTGAAGTTTCTGTGAAGCAAAATGATAGACACCATCCTCACTTCAGGAATTACAGCCAATTCTGTTTTTTTTTAATTGTACTTTAGATGAAGGTTTACAGAACAAACTAGCTTCTCATTAAATAATTAGTACACATATTATTGTTTTGTGACACTGGTTACCAAGCCCACGACATGTCAACACTCTCCCTTTCTTGACCTTGAGTTTCCTATTGCCAGCTTTCCTGTCCCCTCCTTCCTTCTCCTCCTTGCCCCTGGGCTGGTGTGCCCATTTAGTCTCATTTTGTTTTATGGGGCTGTCTAATCTTTGGCTGAAGGGTGAACCTCAGGAGTGACTTCATTACTGAGCTAAAAAGGTATCTGGGGGCCATACTCTTCGGGTTTCTCCAGTTTCCTTCAGACCAGTAAGTCTGGTCTTTTTTTTTTTTTTGTGAGTTAGAATTTTGTTCTACATTTTTCTCCAGCTGTCCAGGACCCTCTACTGTGATTCCTGTCAGAACAGTTGGTGGTGGTAGCCGGGCACCATCTGGTTGTGTTGGACTCAGTCTGGTGGAGGCTGTAGTACTTGTGGTTCATTAGTTCTTTGAACTAATCTTTCCCTTATGTCTTTGGTTTCCTTCATTCTCCCTTGCTCCTGATGGGGTGAGACCAGTAGAGTATCTTATATGGCCGCTTACAAGCTTTTAAGACCCCAGACGCTACTCATCAAAGTAGAATGTAGAACATTTTCTTGATAAACTATGCTAGGCCAGTTAAGTTAGATGTTCCCCGAGACCGTGATCCCCACAGCCCTCTGCCCAGTAATTTGGTCCCTCAGGGAGTTTGGATGTGTCCATGGAGCTTCCATGACCTAGACTTGGACAAATTGTGCTGAAAGCCAACTCTGTTTTATGGAAAAATAAAGATTTTTTAAAAACCAACCTATATTGTAATTTTTGCTGGGAAAAGCTAGGGAAAGACAAATATAGAATGATGATTGTAAATGAGCCCTTGTTTTTATATACAAGATTTGTTTGGGACTATGTAATTTTCTGGCTGATTATCTTGTAATGATTTTATAAATGAGCTTTGTTTTCATATTTACTTAAAAAAACACTTTTAGCGTTTGATCGATTTTTTTCCTTTCCAGCTTATTATATCTAATATTTTTAAGTTGAATGTTAAGAAAAATATAACACTTGTTTCTTTGTGGAATTGAATACATTGTTGTTTTGTTTAAATACAAACCAAATAAGTTGTATAGAACTGGATTTACAATTCCTTCCTTTGAGGTCCCACAATGGCCTGGGACTAGGGATCCCTGATAGCACAGTGGTTAGGAGATTGGCTGCTAAACAAAAGGTTGGCAGTTTGAATCCATGTGGGGCAGTTCTGTTGTGCTCTGTGGGGTTGCTATGAGTCATAATCAGCCCGATGGCAGTGGGTTTTTTAGCTAGCTGTAGTACTAGAAAATTGATTTGAAATAAATCCTCATTTGAAAAATTTACCTTCTGGTTTTACAAGGAGAGAAATGTTTCACACAAAATGAACTTGGTCTGCTGGATGGATGAAATTATACAGAGATGCTATTTTTTATTTCTTATGAGCTCTGTAAAAGCATGATAATCTTAAAATATATTTATTATGACTTAAGGAGAGAAGAAGCCATAAAATAAAAGCTTGTGTTAAAGTTTATAACAAAAATGTAAGCAGGCATTTGTGTCTGAGAAAGGATATTTGTGTGCATGAGATCACTTGGGCTTCTGAAATAAGAGGCCAAGTGATGGAAGAAAGGCTAAGTGAATCCCTCTTACTGCAATCTATAAAGTCCACTGATGTCATTATAGAATTATAACTGATGGAAGAGCTAAGTGAGGAAAACTTTGTGGCATGTTGAATAGCGTTTCTTGACAGTGCTGCTCTGTGACCATGGCAGTTCAATCTGATGTCTTATTTTCAGACACCATTGTAATTAAATTATACCGGCCTAAAGTTGCCTTGGAAGACAGGCCTGGCAGCCTGCTTCTGAAAGGTCACAGCCTTGAAAACCCTATGGAGCACAGTTCTACTCTGACACATATGGGGTTGCCATGAGTCGGAATTGTCTCAATGGCGACTAAAAACAACATTGATCGTATTACAGGGCTCTATTAATGAGAGAGGGATTTTTCAAGTTTATTTTATCTCATTTCTGAAGTTTATGATTTTTTCTGGAGAACTGGTAAATGTATTTAGATAATTCTGTGGGAAGAGAATATATGGCAAAGAGATGCTACTCCACTGGCATGCAAAACAGAAAATAGGCTTGAAAATTTTGGAATGGTCACTATTACCCCTTCATTTGATTTAATGTAGTTTTAGTGAAAATTAAAATAGTGAAAAAAAGAACAGAGTTGAGAATATTGACCATGTGGTTGGGACTGATTGAGAGCAATCCAAAATAATAACATTAAAATTTGTCACCATCAAGTCTTTAACAGTAGCAATAGCAGGAGGTTGGGTCTGAATTTGATCACAACACAACTTCTAGTCCTCTTTATTTTACCTTGACTCTTTTCTGCTAAAATGTCTTCCCACTCCATCTTTTGTGATACTTCTTCAAACTTTTATCTTCAAATTTGACTCTTTACCCCTAAAGAAGAGCTAGAATCAGACCAAATTGAATGTTGGTAACGACTTTCTTAAATTTAATCATATTTCTATTTGCTGAAATTATGTAAAAAAAAAGTATTGGTTATGGTTACTTTCTTGAATGTTTGCATCTAAGACTTTCACAAATATGTACACATCAGAATGCAAAACGAAATTTTGACAGTGTTGGAGATTTACATAGATTTAATTTGACCTCTGAGTAAAAGAAAATTTTATGTACCAAAAAGCTGTTTAAGGGTCTTATTGGTATTTCTTTCATTTTAGTATTAGAGGAAGAGAATCTTAATTGTTTTCATTTCAGCTTGAGGTGCTTATGGAAAATTATTAGGAAGAAAGCAAAAAGTGAAATATGAAAAACATCCTTTTAAAAGTATCAAGAGTAAAGAAGAGAGTGAGAATTGCTGGGCTAAACCTAAGAGGGAAGAGGAATCTAGAGAAGTGAGCCTAGCACTTGGGGCTATTTTTGCCCACAGCACATTTGCCAATCTGAGAGAAGTAGCTGAAAGGCTGAGTTAATTTATGGCAACTTGAAAATCTAGGGAGAAAAATTGTCATCTAGGGCTAGAGGAGGTGGGGCCCAAGAGCTGGGATACTGTAGGAATAAGAGTGAATAGGAGATAAACCAGTTGTCCCTGACTACAACCAAGCTTTGAGTTGTAGGACCAGAAAATTTTAACCTTGAACTTGGAATAAATTAATCCATGATTCTAATGCTCCCAGGCCCTCCACATCTTTGGAGGAAGATAACATCATCCTAGGCCTCATATCTAAATAATTTTTAAACCAAGTATCCAGCAAATAGAAGTAATTGAACACATGAGGAGACAAGATACTGTACGTGAGAAACAGCAGAAACAACAACAAAAAAAAACCCAATAGAAATTAGACCCAGAGGAACTCTAAAAAACCTATTGCTGTTGAGTCGATTCTGACTCATAGCGACCCTGTAGGACAGAGTAGAACTGCCTCATAAGGATTCTAAGGAGCGGCTCATGGATTTGAACTGCCGACCTTTTGGTCAGCAGCCGAGCTCTTAACCACTGTGCCACCAGGGCTCCACAGGGACTCTAGATCCTGGAATTATCAGACATAGATCATGAAACAGTTACTATGCTCAAGGAGATAAAAGCAAAAGCTTGAAACTGGAATTAGAAGCTGTCAGAAGTGACACAGTATATTAAAAAAAAAAAACCAAAAAAAAACCCCAAAACAATTAGAGATTCTAGAACCGAAAAATACAAGAATTCAATGGATGGTTAATTAGTTCAAGTCCATTGGATTAACCAATGGATGGTTAATCAGTTAAATTTACCTGTTTGAAATACCTACATTGGAAATCGGAAACCAATCTAGGTATTTCAAATAGTAAATTTAAAAAGGAAAGTTGGTTACAAGTTAGAGAAGCTGGAAATAACAAAAGGGAGAAGGAATAATGCTGAAAGAAAAAAAAAAAGGGGAGGGTGTTATCCTCAGTTCAGAAGCTGCTAAGAGGCTGCGTCTGCTGCTGCACAATTGGAGACTGTTGTCATTGGTTCTAGATCTGCTCGAATGGTGCTGTGTGGACCAGAGCTAAAATTGCAGAGAGATAGTCTCTGGTCTGTTGGAGTTCAGAATCACCCCAGTCCTGCTGCCACTGCAGTAACTGCTCATAACTACCACAGTGCTAGAACCAGATGCTGCAAGTTTTATCTTCTACCTTCTGATTTTCCAGCAGTGCCTCCTATTGACAATACCTAACACAAGGAAGTCTGGGAAATGTAGTTTTCAGAATCCCAACCCTAGCAGAATAGAGCCGAGTATAGGAGGATGGGTGTGTGTGCATGAAGCTGGGGGAGAGGGAGCTGAGTGCCCACAAGAAACAACTAGCACAACCCTCCCTTTTAGCTTTTAAGCATCCATACACAGCCTTCTCCAAAAAGCCCATTGCCATCCAGTCGATTCAGACTCAGCAACCTTATAGGACAGAGGAGAACTGCCTCACAGGGTCTCCAAGGCTGTAGTCTTTACAGAAACAGATTGCCACATCTTTTTGCTGTGGACTGGCTAGTAGATTTGAACCTCCAACCTTTCGGTTAGCAACAGAGCACTTAACCATTGCGCCCCCAGGGCTCCTACACACCCTTCTACCATAATCTAAATTACAGTATAACAATAACAACAGTTTTATGCTTCTGTCTGTGCAGATGTAACTATCTTATGTACAAATGAAGTCCCATCAGTTACCATATCCTTGTTGTACTAATTATTCTAATTCAGTCACAGATCCATCTGGATATTCTGTAACCAAAAAACCCATTGCCTTTGAATCAATTCTGACTCATACAGAGTAGAACTGCCCCACAGGGTTTCCAAGGAGCGTCTGGTGGATTCCAACTGCTGACCTGTTGGTTAGTAGCCATAGCTCTTAACTACTACGCCATCAAGGTTTCCATTCTGTAACATGAAAATTAAATCGTAAAGTTCACTACCACCAACACTCCTTGTATAAAATAATAGGGTAAAGGGGGAAGAAAACATTTCTATAGTGTTTTTCTATAATTTCTATAT